TTCCAAATTTGCTGGCATATTGAGTGCAGCACTTTCACAGCATCATCTTTCAGGATTTGAAATAGCTCAACTGGAATTCCATCACATGCACTAGCTTTGTTTGTCATGATGCTTTCTAAGGCCCACTTGACTTCACATTCCAGGATGTCTGGCTCTAGGTGAGTGATCGCACCATTGTGATTATCTGGGTCGTGAAGATCTTTTTTGTACAGTTCTTCTGTGTATTCTTGCCACCTCTTCGTAATATCTTCTGCTTCTGCTAGGTCCATACCATTTCTGTCCTTTATTGAGCCCATTTTGGCATGAAATGTTCCCTTGGTATCTCTAATTTTCTTGAAGAAAAGAAAAACATCCTGCTAGCAATATGGGGGGAAAATAAAGTAAAGGAGAAATTGTCATAATGGTCTGGGTTTGTATTTAGAGACTCCCAAAATATTCCGTCAGGACTAAAGAAACAGCAAGGGTGTGTTTTCTGGAAGATGTGTGCTGTGTGCTGGGCTACCCCAGCGGACAGTGGGAAAATGAAACAAGCTTTCTAGATATTTGTTTCTCTGAGCTGAGCGCAACAGTAGTCAGAACACAGAAAAATAAAATAAAAAAACACAACGTGAAGCACATTAGGATTGGGCGAGAAAGGCCAGGTAATTATTAAGTATGAAGGGTGGCTTGTTAGAAGGCAAAGCACAAAGGAAGACAGGATCCATCACTGGATTTGCATCTTTCATATGGAAAAAGTAAGGCGATCTCCCAGGTGAAGCCACTGGCATTTGTTAGATCTAGACAAATTCCTTATGTAGCTCTTTTATAAGGGCAACGAATTGTGCAGGGCAGGGCCTGGCAAGCTTTGTTCCTTTTCGGGCTGGTCAGTAAATATTTGGGACTTTGTGGGTCACAGGGTCTCTATGGAAATGCCTTAACTCTGCATGAAAGCAGCCAAAGAAGACAGAAAATGGGTAGGCTGAGTTTGGCCCACAGGCCTGCTGTGCTGACCCCCTGAACCTTACACAGGAGATGCTCTTATCAGCAACTGTGTGATAAATACTATTGTTTCTTAAGACTGGTCATGGTACCCCTGATCCTCAGGGGTCTGAGATGAGCTCAATTCCGACACAAACATCCATCCACAACTCTTGCCTGGTGTCCACTGGGGGTGTGGGCCAGGCTCACGGAGGGGAAGAGACACACGCGCTTCCAGCCCAGCCAGTCTCAGGGTGACCACACAAGAGAGGAGGCACAGAGGGGAGTCCCCACCCCGCCCCACAGGGATAGGGCACAGGCACGAGAGGCTGAGAGAGCAGGAGGAGATCGCAGGGTCCTGTGATGCTGTGACAGAGTAACAGATGTAAACACTGGTCTTCATCCATGGTTCCTGGCATCAGGCTCCTAAAACCCTTATTTCCTAAATGACAGGAGCTAAACAGGAGTTATACTGAGTTTTTGTTCCTAGTTCGTAAAAAACTCTGGGTGAAACGATGTCTTCCATTATTCATAACAAACCTCTTTCAACCACACCTGAGTCAGTTAATGAAGAGAGTTTGGAAAGCCCTTGGATAACCAATGAATGAGGGCTGGGTGCCAGCGGAACTAACCACAGTATTAAAGGGTTGGAACTTGCAACTCCACCTTCCAACTTTTAGGGAGCGGAGAGGAGCCGGAGGCTGAATGGTTTAATGGCTACCAATGGTTACCAATGGCTAATGGTTTAATCAGCCTGTATAATCTGGTTAGGATTGTCAAAATCCTGCCAGATGGGCCTCCCACCCATGATCTGCACAGGACTGCCAAACAAACTAGGCACTAGTGCGTTTCTTTAAAGGAGGTTACTCAACCAAAAGACATCTTCCAAACCCAAATACTCAAAACCCAAAACCTGTCTCTTTGCTGCAAAACAAAACTAAGCACCAAATCTCAGCAGCACCTTCCTGGGGAGATTCAGGGGCCAGTCCTTGGAAAAAATAAGACCAGGCAGCTGCTCAGACTTGTCCACAGTCTTTCAGGACCTGCAAGGGGCCGACAAGCCACAGGCAAAAAGTCCCTCTGGACTTAACCTCCTGGCTGGCAACTAGGTTCGTTTTTCCCCCATACAACAAAACTCCCTTAGATAAAGAGGTTTGCAGTCTTTATTTGCAAGACAGTCAAGCAATGGATTTCAAATCCACCTTCCCAGAGGCAAGCGGCTTGGGGTATTTATGAGCTCAGGAATAAAGAAGCATGGGGGTCAGAGGTGTGGGGAGCATGAGGAAAGGTGACTGAAGAACAGGACTTCCCTGGTGGGTCCAGTGGCTAAGACTCTGTGCTCCCAATGTAGGGAACCTGGGTTCAATCCCTGGTCAGGGAACTAGATTCTGCAAGCAATGACTAAGACTCAGTGCAGTCAAATAAGTAAATATTAAAAAGAAGATTGGTAATCGATCTTCACAGTTATCCTTGTTATTATTATCCACAGTATCCCAGTTACACACTAGGATACAGGCCTCTGCATGTTTTCATAAGTTTATTTTAAATTCATTAACTCATGTGGCTGCATCAGGTTTTAGTTGCGACATGCAG